AAAGAGCGCAGAGGCCACTCTGGTCGGATCCCAGCCCAGCACGTGGCTGGGGTACGTTTCTCTCCTATCTAAAGCACCAGAACTGCCCCTGGGGCTGATGTGTCTTTGCTCACACAACAGGGATGCAACTGTGCACACCCTGCTCCCGAGGCAGGAGCACCACGAGATGTGCTACTCCTGTTATAATAATGATAATAGAGGAGGAAGATGGAACTGGAGATTGTCCAGTCCAATCCCTGCCAAGGCAGGGCCACCCAGAGCAGGTCACCCAGGAACCTGTCTGCGTGGGTTTGGGATGTTTCCCGAGAGGGAGACTCCACAACCCCCCTTGGCAGCCTGTGCCAAGGCTCCAATACCCTCAGCATAAAGAAGCTCTTCCTCATGTTGAGGTGAAACTTGTGTTTTAGTTTATGCCCATTGCTCCTTGTCCTGTTGCTGGGCACCACTGAAAAGAGTCTGGCACCATCCTCCTTGCACCTGCCTTTGAGATATTGATCTACATTGAAGAGATCCCCTCTCAGTCTGCTCTTCTCTGGACTAAGCAGGCTCAGCTCCTGCAATCCCTCCTCACAAGAGAGATGCTCCAGACTCCTGAGCATCCCTGTGACCCTAACGCAGGGCCAGCATTTCTGCTGGAGACAGCCCCAAACCTCCAACACTTCCATAAGCATTCACCTCCAGCCATGCTCCTGGACCAACCCTCCTCCCTGTCCAGCACAGGCGCCTTCCCATCCCCATGGTCCAGGTACCAACCCTGTGCAGAGCAGCTTTGCCTCCGCTGAGGAGAACAATGCCCGGAGTGCTCAGAGTGAGCTCAGCAATGGCAGAAAATTCTCTTCTGCAGAGATTAACAAAGGGAGGTTTCGAAATCTGCGCTGCCGAGTATGAACTTTCAGCTTTTTCCAGCTTGGCTGGATGCGACTGGTTTGGGTTTAAATGTTTCAGTGAATTAACGAGTGAGGTTGTTAATGCAAAACATTCACCAGTGCAGTGCCAAGGGCCCCACTTGCAAGATTAATTCCTGTGACCTTCTGCAAACCTCGCCTAGAAACAACGACCAGAAAAGCCACTGGGCAGCCCCGTGGAGAAGACAGCCCCGCTCTGCTCCAACCCAGCCAACGCTGGGTGCCCAGCGCTCACCCAAGGGCTGTGTGCTCTGCCATGGCTCTGGTGTTCAATGAGGCTCTGCTGAAGAGTGAATGCTCAGCTTCAAACAGAAAAACATCAGAAATCACACCAAAATAGAAGTAAAATAACAGTTTTCGCAGCACTCTGGGTGCCTGCCAGGCAGGCAGACACGCTCCCCAGGTCAGAGACAAAGTTGATGTTTCTGTCTTAGACAAAGCCAAGCACAATATTGGCACTTAAGAACAGAAGTTTAGGTTTTAAGCTGAAGCTCAGCAGGCCCCGGCTCATAGCAAAGTATAAGGGGGGAAAGGGAAAAAAAGAAGAAAAATCAAAGTTGGGGGAAAGGGAAAAAAAGAAGAAAAATCAAAGTTGGGGAAAAGAAGTTGATGTTTGAGAGTTTTTGTCTCTCCCCTTTAGGCTCTACCTCCAGCCAGGCCCAGAGGTGCAGGTTTGGGA